TGGAGGGCCAGAAGAGGGCATCAGATCTCTGAGAACTGAAGTTATAAATGATTGTGAGCTGCCCTGGGGGTTCTGGGAATTGAACCCTGGCCCTCTGGAAGAGCAGCCAGTTCTCTTAGCCATCTTTCTAGTCCCCTGCAATTTTTTTTTTGAAAGTATATTATATCCATGGTTGGCTGAACTCATGAATGTGGAACCCATGGGTACACAGAGCCAATTGTATATTGCATCTTTCTTTTTATTAGAAAATGCAAAGTCTTATTTTCACATCCACTCCCAAGTGCAGAAGTTCTGTCCATTTTTATGTCCATTATCTTACTAGTTCATCTCAATCTTTTGCAGTGTAAAAACTATGTTATAGAATTAATTGAAGGACAAAGATATAGCTCAATTGGTAGAACGCCAACCTAGCATACAAGAAGTCCTGGGTTCGATGCACAGCACATGAACTGAACCCAGGTTCTCTGTGAGAACAGCCAACATTCTTATCTACTGAGCCATCTCTCCAGCCCCTTCCAGCCAAACACCTAAATCAATGTCCACTATCCACCATTGATACTTGGTTTGTATGGTAGTTAATCTTGGTGGCCAACTTAATAAGATCAGAATCATCATGGAAATACTCTGGAGTTGTCTGTGAAGGAGTTTTTAGATCTAGTTAATGGCAGTGAAAAACCCACCCCAAGTGTTGGTCGCACCATCCAATGGGCTGGGGTTCTGGATTGAATAAAAGAGAAAGTGAGTACCCACATTCATTGCTTTTTGCTTCTTGACTGTGGACACAAGGTGAGCAGCTGCCTCAAGCTCCTGCTCTCATGATTTCCTCTCCATGATGGACTGGACTGTACCTGGGAACTGAGAACCAAGATAAACCTTCTGAGGCTGTTTGTATCAGGTATTTTGTCAAAAGTAACCACTGAGATTATTCTTGTTTCAGTTCCACTGTGGGTACAGACTTAAGCACAGCCTCCCAAAGGAAAGGCCCAGCCTCTATGGGATCTTCTAGGGTCGGGCTTTTCTCGTGTGAGCCCACTGTTCATGGAGACTGGCCCACCTTTGGAAGGAAACCTGGGACCAAGGGTACAGGATGCTCAGCCACCAGCAGCAGCATGTTTTATTGCAACCAGAATCCCCTGGTCATGTGAAGAAGGGATGGGACAGGACACAAGGCATAACATGTCTGGTCATGGATGACATGCTCCCAGACCAGGACACAAAGACAGATGGGAAGGGTATCCAATGATGCTGAGGTGGAGGGTAATTGGAAAGGGGATGGAGTCCATTTCAGCAGAATTTTCCCTGGAAGGGACCTGAGGGAGAGGGGACAATTGGAAGTGAGGGTCCAGATGACCTAAGAGGCTCAGGAGTGTCTGGGGCAAGTTTTGCATGGGTCCCTGTGGATGTTGTGAGAGGACAGCAAAGATGCACTCTGTCCATTGGGAGGAGGGAAGGGAAGAAAGGCTCAAAGTGACAGTCACAGGCCAGCACCCATAGGTGGGACCTGGCATCCTGACTCCTAGATCAGGGCTATGTCCACAGATGTCTCCAGGCATCACCACAGCCTGGGTGACCTGTCTGGTCAGCCAAGGGTCCTATGTGGGGATCTGCACACGCCCCAGGTCCTGATCCATGATCTGGAGGACATCATCCAGGATAGAAGGCCCCAGGTCCACGTGCAGAGACAGCAGGGAGCTGGCATGGGACAGAAAAGGCTCCTCAGCCTCTGGCTCTGGGCTCATCCCATTGTGGGGCGAGCCAGCCTCTGGAATCCTCCAGATGTCCACATTTCCTGCTTCCTGTGGGGAGGACTTTGGAGAAGGCTGTGGTGACTCCAGGTGCAAACGAGGGGGCTTAGGCGGGGCCTGGGCTGTGGGCAGGGTGAGGGCCTGGGGACCACCAATGACAGGAAGGGAGATGGCGTTTTTGAGCAGAGGTGACAGCCCCTCGGGGAGCTCTCGCCCACACACTGTGGCAGTACGAGTGAACTGGAAGGGAAGGTCGAAGCTGCCAGCCTCCTCAGCCTCCTCCACTCCTGTTCCTGGAAGGAGGTGGAACTTGCCCTGCAGGAAGGAGATGTCCCCAAACATGTCGTCACCACCACCGCTGCCAATGTGAATAGTGTGACGGAAGTCCCCAAGTGGTGGGCTAATCATGTCTGAGGACAGCAGGTCCCGAAGTTTCTCTTTCTTGCCTTTGCGGCTGCCACGTTTCAGATAAATGGGGACCTTGGTGGACATGGTGACTTTAACACACAGCCCCGGCTGCTCGGTCCTCAGTACCCTCCCAACACCGTCAGCCCAAAAACTGGCTCCAGGGGGCGCTGTTGAGATGACCACACTTGCCAAAAACTAAAGATTAGAGTGTAGATGTGATCAGAGTTGGCCCAATGAAGACAGGAGTGTGAATACACCCCACTTTCTTCTCAAATGGATGAAAGTCCTTTTGGGGAACTGCAGGCAGAAAGGTGAGATCTCAGCAGTGATGGGTTTTGTTCTTGTTCCAAGATTCTTTCCTTAGTCCGAGGTTGAGAAGCTGAAATGAAAGAACACATAAATAAGGGGCAGGAAGACAAGAGACAAAGCAGTTGTTGAGGTGAGGTGCATGCCAGTAATTCCCACGTTCAGGAGACACAGACAGGGTCAGGAGTTCAAGGCCAGCCTAGGCTACATGAGGCCCTGTCTCAAAACAATACACAACAGAGTTGAGGGTCAGCTCAGTTACAGTGATTGCCTAGCATGCAGGGATCCCTAGTTCAGTCCCAGCCCTCCCTAAGCGCATGCATGGTGGTGCAGCCAGTATCCTCAGCACTTGAAAGGTAGAGAGAGAAGATCAGGAGTACAAGGTTAGCCTTGGCTACCTGCCAATTTCTGACTGTCAAGTCAGCCTCAGGTACATAAAGCCCTGCCTCAAAAATGGAGAAAAACAGCCTGGGGGGAGTGGCACCCACTTTTAATCCCAGCACTCGGGAGGCAGAGGCAGGTGGATCTCTGAGGTTGAAGCCAGCCTGAGCTACAGAGTGAGTTCCAGGACAGCCAGGGCTATACAAAGAGAAACGCTGTCTTGAAACACACACACACACACACACACACACACACACACACACACACACACACACACACACACTGGGGAAGAATAACTAACAGGGAAGGGGCAGGGGAGATGACGGCTCCGTGGGTAAAGCACTTGCTGACAAGCCTGTAGCCCTGAATTTGATCTGCAGGACCACAGGAGGAGAAAACTGAGTCCTGAAAGCTGTTCTCTGATCTCATCCAGGCTGTCGCATGTGCCCACAATCATAAACACACAAAAATAATAAAAATAACTAAAAAGTCAACTCATGTGGGGCTTGGGGAATCACAACTTTAATCTTAGCACAAGGAAGGCAGAGGCAAGTAGATCTCTCTGATTTTGAGGCCAGCCTGGTCTATATGGGGGCGGGAATCTGGGTTGTTCTTTGTTCTGTTTTATTTTGTTTTGTTCTTCAAGACAGGGTCCCCTGTGTAGCCCTGACTATCTTGGAACCCTCTCTGTAGACCAGACTGGCCTCCAATTCAGAAATGCAACTGTTTCTGCCTCCTGAGAGCTGAGATTAAAGACTTGGGCTACCACTACCCCCTCGTTTTTGTTTTTTCTTTTCAAACAGTTTCACTATGTAGCCTTGATTGACCTAGAGCTTACCATGTAGACTAGGCTGATCTGGAACTCAGAGATCCACCTACCTTTGCCTTCCAAGTACTGGGATTAAAAGTATAAACTATAACACCTCTCCCCCACGCCTCTTGAGGGGGAACAGAGGTCCAGAATCTTTTTTTTTTTTTTTCTCTCTCGAGACAGGGTTTCTCTGTGTAGCTTTGTGCCTTTCCTGGAACTCACTCTTTAGACCAGGCTGGCCTCGAACTCACAGAGATCCGCCTGGCTCTGCCTCCCGAGTGCTGGGATTAAAGGTGTGCACCACCACTGCCCGGCAAGGTCCAGAATCTTAATGTTAGGTCCTGAGACACCTACAAACTCCAGCCCCTGATCCCTGGCTCTGCTTCCTGCTCTGCCTGGGTATTCACTCTCATCCCTGACCTCCATCAACTATATTCTGCCACAAAGAAAGTGTCCCATTGTATGTGAGTCTCACCATTGGTCTCAACTCCTACTCAACTGAGGCCTGGTACAGTGCGGGAAACGCAGGTGTCCAGCCAACAGTGCTGAATGGCCAGCGCCTCACATGGGACCTATCACTTCCCACTTGGAGGTTTCCCTTTCCTCCTCCCTCAGGTCAGGAGCAGAGGCTGAGTCTGACCTTCCTCCCTGCCCCCTGCCCCTATACCAGCCCCTCCACCCTTTCCTCTGCCCCTCCTCCCAGCTCCAGCACTGAGAGAGATGGAACAGGGAGGGCATACAATACATTTTTGGGGTCAGCCTTCTTCTGAGAGCTTTGCAAACATGTTATCACAGCCCTCCTATGATCCCCCTTGGGACATTAAAACTCTCGGGGCTGCCATATAGCTTCTGGCAGAGCGCATGCCTAGCAGGAGAAACAAAGTGAAACAAACGGGAAATATCAAACAGTTTGGATCTCCAGAAGACACTACAGAGAGAGGCAAGCAAAATGTAGAAGCATGGTCAAAGGGATGCCATTTTTCTTTTAGAGTTATGTATATGAGTTTTGACTACAAGTATGTAAGTGCACCGTGTGCATGGCTGGTGTCTACGGAGGTCAGAAGAGAACATCAACTGCCCTGGAGCTAGAGTTACGTTTGGTTGTGAGCCACCATGTGGGTGCTGAGAACCCAACCTCTGCAAAAGTGACAAGCATTTTAATCACTGGGTCATCTGTCCAGCCCTGAGAGAGTGCCATTTATTAAAAGCACTGCCTACCAATGCTCCTGCCATCCACACTCCATATATGACAGCTTGCATAGGATCCTATCTTAACATGAGAAATGAGAAAGAATCAGGAAAGTTGTCATAACGCCGAAAGAAAGGTGGTGTGTGGTCACTGCTTTGGAAGGAAAGATGTCCCCAGCAGGTGATCTCTAACACTTTGCCCATTGGTACACATGTATAATATACATGTGTGTGAAGGGGTATTGGTGGCCTAAATGCTGGTGATGGTATAATTTCAGGCTGACTTTTCCTCTCCTTCCTCTCCTATTTAGACCTTTTTTAGGGGGACTGAGTCTCACTTTGACTGGACTGGAACTCAGAGATTTGTCTGTATCTGTCTTCTGGGTGTTGGAACTAAAAAAAAAAAAAAAAAAAAAAAAGGATATGAGGGGAGGGCACTGAAGAGATGGCTTAGTGGTGAAGAGCATTCACTGTTCTTCCAGGGAACTTGAGTTCAGTTCCCAGCATTCACATGGCAGCTCATAACCATATGTAACTCCAGTTCCATGGGATCTGATACTCTCTCCTGGCTTCCACAGGTATCATGCATAAAGGAACACACAAACATATATAGGCAATGCACTTATACATATAAAATAAGAAATCTTTGAAAAAAAAAAGAGAGCAGGGCAGTAGTGCCGCATGACTTTAATCCCAGCACTTGGGAGGCAGAGGCTGGTGGATCTCTTTTGAGTTCAAGGCCAACCTGGTCTACAGAGAGAATTTCAGGACAGTCAGGGCTACACAGAGAAACCCTGTCACAAAGAACAAGATATATATATATATCACGAATCCTAATTGGTCTTTTTTTTTTTTCTAATTGGTCTTAATAAAAACCCAGAGCCAGATATCAGGGTAAATGTTTAAAGATCAGAGAAGCAGAGCAGCCAGCCACTATAGTTCTTACCTCTGCCAAATCCTCAGCCTGAAAGAGCTCTGAGCTCCTGTTTCCTCCCTCCTTATATTTCTTTCTCTGCTCAGCCATATCACTTCCTGTCTCCACCTCCCTAGTGCTGGAATCAAAGGTATGCCACTACTGCCTGGCTTTGTTTCTCTTTTAGACTGGATCAATCTTGTATAGTCCAGGGTGGCTTTGAACTCAGATCTGTCTGCCTCTGCCTGTGAAGTGCTGGGATTAAAGGCATGTGCCACCAACTCCCCGGCCTCTATGGCTAACTAGTGGCTGGCTTTGCCCTCTTCAGGCAAGCTTTATTTGTTAAATCATACACAAAATATCACCATATATATGTGGGGTGCTCCACAAATTTGAGTGTCATCCTTGTACAGGGGCCACACTAACCATCTCTGTATTGTTCTGATTTAGTATGTGTGCTGTTACAGTGAGCACTTATTCAGTTTTATATAAATGCAGTTTTCTTTTTTGAGGCACTGTCTAAAAACACAAAACAAATAAAAATCTAAACAACTGAGTTACACTCCAGCCATCAATTTCTTAATAAGCATGTAGTCAGGAAAAAAAATTTTTTTAAGGTGAAAAAAATGCACTGTGAACAGGTGTCATGCTGGTTTAACAAAAAAGGACGCAGAATCGGAGCAGGTGTACCCTCCAGTCCCTTGGTGGCGGTTAGTCCCCTGCAAGCTCCTTTGAGTCCACATGCAGAATCCAGTACAAATGGCAGAGAAGCATGTCCATGCTCACATCGCAGCCTGGGGCAGGGCCAGGATCAAAGCCGCAGGAGCCCATCTTCCTCCCCTAAGCCTCCTCTAGGCCAGCCCACACCTGAGCAAAAGAGGCATCCACCATTTCCTCTGCCTCAGTCTCTATCCTGGGTAGGCAAAGGGTGATCAGGAAGGGCAGGAAGGAGGCAGCAGGATGCAGGCAGGGCAGAGTCCTGACTGCCCCCATCCCAGCACAGGCCCTTGCTCAGGAAACCCCACCCCGAGGCCGGACACCCTAGGCCAGTCATGCTGAACCATGGAGACTGACATCTCTAGTCTCCAGAGCACCTGCAGCCAACAGGAAACAGGAATGACTCTTGTGGTAGACTCCAGCTAATTCTAGAGCTGTCAGAAGACACACTCTAAAGTCTTAGAGTCCCCTCACTGATTTATCCTGTGACCACCACACCTAACACAAGGTCTGCTGACAACATCTGATCTGTCCAGTTTGCTGCTGTGAAGCACTGGAGTAACTCTTGCTTCCTTCCCACTGGGGGAGAGTTGGGCTGATTGGTGAGATCTGCCTGGAGCCTGGGCCAGGTCCTTCCCCCACCCCCACTCCATCCCACTAGAGCTCCAAGACAGCTTGGCTGTTTCTACAGCAAATTGGGCGTCCCTGACAGCTGTCTCACTCTGAGCCAGATGTACCCACCCAAATCCAGATGTGAGGGGAACAGAGGCTAAAGGGAAGGGTGGGGCCAGCATCAACCACCCAAGAGAAAGCTGGGAATAACAACCAGAAATCCTAAATAGATCTAGCAACCACAGGACCGGAGGCTCCAGCCTGCCATGGGGTTCCTTACACACTAACTCTCTAAGCCTCATTGTGGTGGGTGCCATCACTGTCCTTGATAGAGTGGAACCTCAGAGATATTAAGGAACTTTATCAAGGCCATCCAGCTAGCAAGGACAGGCCCTGGTACCAAGGCTGGCCATGTGGCTTCAAGGCAGTGGACCACACCGGTGGTGATATGGATGGGGAGCAGGAGAGAAGTTAGCAAGTCTCCAGGCTTCCTTTGTGTAGTCATATTCCCTTGGCTGCCACTTCCCCAACTTGGAAGTGTTCAGAGCTATAAGGAGCTCCGATTAGAGGAAGGCTGCCAGGAGCTTCCTCCAACAATGGGAGGAGCAGATGGGAGCCATCCCAGCTCTGTGGGTTGCCCTGGACAGCAACCCGGGGCCTCCCTCAGAGAAAATGACTTCCTGGAGGCAGATCCCTTCTGCTCATGGAGAATATTGAGCCCTGCTCACTCTGGATGTTCATGGACCTTCCCCTCCCTCCATACACACTTCAAAACTAATGTTTTCTTCTTCTTCCTCTTCTTCCCTCCTCCTCCTCCTTCTTTTTGGTCACAGTGTCTCACTATGTAGACCAGGCTGGCTTCAAACTCAGAGATCTGCCTGCTTCCACCTCCCAAGTGTTTGGATTAAAAGTGTGCCACCTGGCTGGGCATGATGATGAATGTCTTTAATCCTAGCACTTGGGAGGCAGAGGCAGAGGCCAGCTTGGTTTGCATAGTGAGTTCTAGGACAGCCAGGGCTACACAGTAAGACCCTGTCAAACATTCAAGTCTCAAAAAACCAACAGGGAAAAAAAAGTGTGCTACCTTGCCCAGCTCTGGGTATGATTTTTGCCCCATCTCTTAAATGCTTACTAAAAAGGTTTTTTGTTTGTTTTCTGTTTCCTGTTTTTTTGGACAGAATTTCTCCGTGTAACTGGTTGTCCTGACTGTCCTGGTACTCACTCTGTACACCAGGCCAATCGAACTTAGAAATCTTCCTGCCTCTAAGAACTAAAACACTGCCTCTAAAAACCAAACAAACAAAAAATTTAAAAGTTTTTTTATTGTTATTGTGTGAGTATATGCATGATTTGTGTGTCAGCACATGTACATGCAAGCTCGCACACAAGCTCGTATGTACTATGGCATGTGTGTGGAGGTCAGAGGACAGCTTTGTGGAGTCAGTTCTTTCCTTCCATCTTTACATGTTTGGGGATGGAACTCATCTCCAAGCTTGCTCAGCAAGCGACTTCTGCTGAGACATCTTGGCAACCCAAAAGGAATAGTTTGAAATCAGTTCCACCTGGGACTCTGTGACCTTGGGCAATGCATCTTTCCTCTCTGAGACTGGACTCACCTTCCCCAGCTTTAAAATGGGCTGACCCATTGCTATACCGTAAACTAGAGGCTCTGCATAAATAGATGAGTCCACAGTCACTATCAAAGGATATTCAACAAATATCTGCAGGGCCTTTCTCAAACCCTTCTGCTCTCCCTGGTTGCAACGAGAACAAAAAACCGAACCCTGCTCAGCCCCCAGGCGTGGGTCTCCTCTTGCCAGCCCTGACAGTCACCTCAGAATCTGGATCTCCTGCAGCGGTCTCCCTGGGTCCCAGTGCAGAGAAGCGCGAAGACCTGTGGTCGCTAGATGGCGCGCGTGCCCCCCGCTATCACCCAGCGTTCTAGGGTCCCACCAAGCACGCCGGCTATAGGCTGACGCCCACCGAGGAGCTGCGCGCTCCAGTACCCGGGGTGTATCACTCATAGGGTCCTTTTCTCTGGGTCGCACAATCAGACCACGGTGAGGGTAGTATTGCGACGATTAGTGACCCTGTCCCGGTCCCTGAGCTCTGGGAGGGGCCTTGCCTGAGCTTCCCCGCCTGGGCGAGGTCCCAGTGTCTGCTTGGCACACCGCCAGGTTTCGGACGTGCAGGCCCCCGCCTTCCCGCGAGTCCCGCTGCTCAGCCCGGTTATCGTTCCCGCGCCGACCCCTCCAGTTCCCCAGCCAAGCGCTGCCCAGCGCGGCCCAGATCCGTTTCAGTAACATTGCAGCTAAAGATAGGAGGACACCTCACCATCCGCTAAAAATACGGCCTCCATCCCAGGCGGGAACACGGGCCGAGGAGAGGATGCTCCCTGGTCCGGGGGCTCCAGCATTGAACACTGCCTACAGCCAGGAGCTGCGAGACTGACAGCGCAGAGCCCTGGGAGCTGTGGGAGGTCATGGGTAGGGGGGCGGGGACCCAGGCGCCTGGTAAGGAGCCTGATCTGGACCAGAACCGAGCACCACCCTGGATGGGACTCTCCAAGGAGCCACCAGAGGCCTGAAAAACCCCAGCCCAAACTCACCTTGAAGAGCGCGGGCAAAGCCGCAGAGCTGCGCGCTGGGATAGAGCACCAGGGAGGGCCTGGGAACTTACAGTGCGGACCTCAGGCCCTAAGCCCCGCCCCCGGCGTGCGGAGCCAATCCCGGGCCGCTCCTTTCCAGCCCCTCCCACACATCCCCGCCCACCGCGGCGCCGCCCAGGTTCTCCCTTCTGCAGAGACTCCGCTGCGAGATTCCAGAGCCTCAGCCTCCAGCAGCTCTCTCTGTAGCAGCGGTGGATTCGAGGACGCCAGCTGTGCATGTTGGAGTCAAAACGTTACGCTTGAAGCACTGGGCCAGCAAAGACCGGAAGAGCGAATTCTTGAGAAATCTCTGAGCGTCCTTGGATGCGTTTCCTTGCCAGAAGGACTGGGACCTGGGAGGCGTCCGCACTAGTGTATTCTGTGACTGTACCGGAAAGAATTAGGTTTTGAAGAATTTGACCTAACCTAGGAGAGAGAGTGACAGAAAGGGGGAGAGAGAAAGATTCGTGGGGGGTGGGGTGGGGGCGGCGCAGAGAAAAACAGAAACACAGAGACAAACCGAGAAGGACAGAGACTGGGCATACCTGTGTGCTGTCCTGCTAGGTGGTTTCCGAGGTGGGTTTGGACTCCTACAGAGATTCGTTCATTCATACAATCACACAGTATCAGAAACAATTATTGAAGGGCAGGTCCTCAGGTTGCTGAGATAGACCGAGGGAAACCTGTCGTCGCTCCGATTTGTAAGTGGAGAAACTTCGTTGAGTGTCTGCTTGCGGTTAGCGAAGCTGAGGGATTGAAATTCAAGAAATTCAAGGTCCCAGGCACAGGATGACACCCTTCCAGGTGGATAAGAGCTAAGAGGAGTGAGGCAAAAGAGGTGGACAGTTCTGGGAGGAGAGGAGCCAGAATGCTTGGCTTCCAGGTAGCACATGTAGAAAGGGTGTGTGTGTATAGGAGGGAAGGATGCTGGGGTGAGGGTATGTGTCAGCCAAGTCCTGGAGGGAGGGGAGAATGGGAAGAACTATGAGTCATGTGTCCCTACAGATGTGCATGTTCTGGGCAAGGAAATACAGCTCTGAGGAGCTCAGCGAGTTTCCCTGTATGTTAGTCCCTTTGTTTAATATCCAGTCTCTCTCTCTCTCTCTCTCTCTCTCTCTCTCTCTCTCTCTCTCTCTCTCTCACACACACACACACACACACACACACAGAGCACATTCTTTATTTCTTAAAAAAAAATCACATTGGCAGGGAGGTGGTGGCGCATGCCTGCCTTTAATCCCGGCACTTGGGAGGCAGAGGCAGGTGGATCTCTGTGAGTTCGAGGCCAACCTGGGCTACAGAGTGAGTTCCAGGTCAGCCAAAACTATACAAAGAAACCCTGCCTCAAAAAAAAAAAAAATTACATTGAAGGCAGAGGTAGGTCGATTTCTGTGAGTTCAAGGCCAACCTGGTCAACATAGTGAGTTCCAGGTCAGCCAAGGCTATGTAGACAGACCCTGTCTCAAAACAAATGAACAAAAAAATTGAGACAAAACAAACAGAAACCCAACAACAACAATAAAATTACATTGAGCCAGGTATGGTGGCATTTTAACCTCTGGAACCTATGACTGCTTGTTCTGTGGGAAGAGAGGATTTCAGTTACCCAGGGAATTATGATAAGCAGAACTCCTGGGCTCAAGCAGTCCTCCTTCCTCAGCTTCCCAAAGAGCTGGGACTATAAACGTAAACCACCATGCCCTGCTCAGCTGACTTTAAAACAGAGATTTTTTGTTTGTTTGTTCGTTTGGTTTTCGAGACAGGGTTTCTCTGTGTCACTTTGCACCTTTCCTGGATTTTGCTCTATAGACCAGGCTGGCCTCGAACTCACAGAGACCCGCCTGTCTCTGCCTCCCAAGTGCTGGGATTAAAGGTGAGCACCACCACCACCACCCGGCTTAAACCAGAGATTATCCTGGGCTAGGCATATACTTCAGTTCACAGAGTGCTTAAATAGCATGTGTGAGGCCCTGGGTTCTGTCCTCAGCACTGCATAAACAGGGTGGATGGTGTAAGCCTGTAACCCCAGCACTCAGAAAGTGGAGGCAGGAGGACTTCAAGGTTATTCTCCTCCAACAAATAGTTAGTCCAAGTCCAAAAATAAAAAGGTCATTATGAGTGAGTACTTAGTAGCTCAGGGTACTTTTTGTCATGCCTCACAACCTGACTTTGATTCTGGGGCTTTCATGGTGGAAGAAGAAGAGAACTAACTTTTAAATGTTATTCTCTGACCTCCATGTACAACCATGGCACACATGCATGCCCCCTACCTCCATAAAAATCAGTGTAATTTATTTTCTAAGACAGAATGTCCTCAGTCACCTGAATGGGCCAAGTTTGATTACAGGGGTCCTTAAAACAGAAAAGACAAAAGAATGAAAGACGCCTGCAAGCTAGCCTGGCAGCACATGCCTGTCATCCCCGTGCTAGAGAGCTGGGAAAGCAGAGGCAGAGGGATTGCTTCTGAGGCCAGCCTGGTCTACAGTGAATTACAGGCCAGCCTGGGCTACATAGTGAGAACCTGTGTCAAAAACAACAAAAAGGGGTGGGGTAATAATGAAATGGTCCAGCTTCTGATCCTCCTGCCTCCACCTTCTGAGTGCTGGGATCACAGCCTTGCACCATCCACCCTGTTTATTCAGCTCTGAGGACAGAACCCAGGGCGTCACACATGCACTCTGTGAACTAAAGTACATTATCCCCAAGCCTGATGACCGAGGTGTGAGCTCCAGAACTCTTGTGGTAGAGGGAGAGAACCCATTCCCACAGGTTTTCTTCTGACTTCTACACACATAAATAAATATTTTTTTTTTTTTTAATGAAGGGAAGGAAAGGGCAAGCCAGAAAGATCCTATGGGGTTATTCTTAGAGGTGAAAGAAGGCCCACAAGCCAAGGCACTCTGAATGCTCCGATAGCTGGAGAAGATAAGGAAGAGCAGACTCTGCCCTGGAGCTGCCGGGACATCTGTGCTAACAACACCTTGACTGTAACTTCATGAGACTTCTAACCTATTCAACATGGTGATGAATTGTGTGGTGTCATCGTTTTCAATTGTGTGTGTGTCTGCCTCTCTGTGGGGATGTGTGCAGATGGCCTTCCAGGCACCCGGAAGGCCTTGTTACAGGTGCTCGTGAACTGCTTGACATGGGCTCCGGGAACCATGCCCGGATGACACCAGCAGCGTGCACTTAACCACGGAGCTGTCCCTCCAGCCCAGTTCGTATCCTTCTAAGCCACCAAGCTGGTGCTAATTTGTTTCAGTTGTCATTTGGAAATGAATGAAAAGGAAGTTTTATATTTTTATTTTTCTGTTTTTTTGTTTGTTTGTTTGTTTTGTTTTTATTTTTTGAGACAGTGTCTTACTATGTAGCCCTGACTGGCTTGGAATGCTCTACATAGACCAGGCTGGCCTCAAACTCACAGAGATCCACCTGCCTCTGCCTCTCTAGTGCCGGCATTGAAGGTGTGTGCCATCGTACTTGGCAGGATTTAATCTTTAGGTGACTGTACTCCTTGCTTAGTGACCCAAGACAGGTCAGGGTTGGCCTGGATGGCTTAGAAGAAAACTGAGGACAGTCCTGGAGAGGAACCTGGACCACACTGTCATATGGTGGAAGGCTATACTTTGAAAATGTCCCCTGAAGGGCATGTGTTGGAAATGTACTTCCCACAGCAACAGTGCTGGGAGGTGGGGCCTGCTGGGGGGTCTGTTCGGGTCAGAGGGCTATAAGCCCACCGAAAGGTTTAGTGCCGACTATGGAAGGGTTGGAGGATGCAAGCCCACTTTCTTTCTCCCTCTCTCCCCACCCACCCACCCACCCACCCACTTTCTCTTCTGCCTCCTGCCAGGGTGTGAAACAGTATGAGGATCCTCACCAGATGCCAGCTGGCATCCAGATGTTCTCAGATGTTCCAGCCTCCAGGACCAGAGCTGGCAACAAAGCAGAAAGTAACAGAGGGTTGGGGGAATCATAAGCTCTCCTCCACGGCGCAGCACTGGCCCGCAGCTCAGCACGGCCCACAGCGCGGCACAGCCAGCAAGCAGCCCCAGGCTCTTTGGTGCAGTCTCCGGAGGGGGGTAGATGGTGGGGGCGGGGCTGGAGGGGGTATGTAGATTACAGCAGAGCAGACTGAAGCTGCCTCCTGTGCTCTGGGAATGGTTTTCAGCAACCCTGATGGGAAAATCGGTCAGCGCAGCCTGTCCATGCTGCTGGGATGGCTCTTGCTCCTTGGCTCTTGCTGTTATCTTGAGCGAGACAATGACCTGGTCTGCACCCAGGATGTCCTGGCCCTGGGTTCTGCCTGTGCGAGGGCTTGGGCAGGACAGCTTAGCTGTTTCTGCATTTATTTTTTAATCCATTGCCAAGATATTACTAGCTAAGACCATGAGTTTCTATTTTTTTTTTTCCGAGACAGGGTTTCTCTGTGTAACTTCCTGCATTTATGAACAGACTAGATACACAGGGTCCCTGAGGAGACTCCCAGTGAGTGAGATTGTGCGTACATACCTGGCGTTGCCATTTGGAGTCTCACAGTTAACCATTTATAGAATGGAATTTCTAGTTGGGCATTGTGGTATGTGCCTGTAGTTCCAGCACTCAAAAGGTTGAGACAGGAGGATTGCCCTAATTTCTAGACTAACCTGGGCCACATATTGAGTTCCAGACAAACCAGGTCTACATAGTGATAACTTGTCTCAAAACAAAAGAAAAGTAAATAATAAATAAATAAAAAGACTCCAGTTACTAAACTAGCTTTTTAAACAACTCCTTAGGCTGCTTGTAAAGACCTAAGTGTGTGTAGCGGTGGGGGCTGGAGTCGCCTAAATCTTTGGGGACAGCCTGGGTGGCTTGCACTTCTGTCAGAGACACTCAGGTAAGTGTCTACAGCTCCCAGTCCGGACCCTGTGTTCATGCTGGACACACCAATTGGGATATGGAATGTGTCCATTGGAATGGTTCTTGGGCACTGTGGTAGCTGAGAGGCAGGACCCAGAAGACACAAAGAAGGGGTCTTCAGGCCATGATGGGCACACTAGAAGAGGGGGTTCAGCTTTCATCTCAGCCCACACTTTCCTGACCTAGGATGGGCCCGCTAGGTCCAGCCCTACAGCTTCCTCCCCCACGGAGATGATCACATAGAGACTGACTCAATCCTTCCTTCCCTCCCTGCCACTTCTTCCTGGAAATTGCCCTCATCTTGGGCCCTGACCTGATGGGCCCTGGAGAATACTGCCGGAAATCTCCCATCCCCCAAGGCTGGCCAGAAAGAAGAGACCAACATGGAGTCCCTCTCCTCTCCACTGGGCTGCAGCCAGCTCTGCACCCCTTGGGAACACAGGGCCCTGAGAGGTAGGTGGGATGACGGAGATGACAGGGATGATCATCTTGGGGGCATCGAGAGAAGGCACTGGGAAGGGGTGATGGAGGTCTCACGAGGTATGTGAGGTCCCTTCCTGGGTCACAGGGCATCTGGGAGTGGTGAAGGAGCTCTGTTCAGCCCTGGGAAGCCTTGAGTCCCAGCTCAGCACGGTCTGCAGTTCCTGTGACCTGAGCCCACCCCAGGCCTTGGCTGGATTCTTTTCCTTGATTGTTTTGTGTTTCCTTCCTCCCCAGGACTCTTGCCAAGCCCTGCCCTCCCCTCCTCCCTTTTCACCCCCTTTTGGAGAACTTGACCATCCAAGGCTGGGGTTCCAGATGAGCAGTCATCCACGGAGTCACCCCCAGATGATGGCCTCTACTCTGGAGCCCCCTTGGGAACTGGGTGGTAGGGGGACTTTCCTTTAGGTCTGAGTTCTGGCCTCTAGCCCAGTGCCATGGGGTTTTCCAGAGTGGTGACAGTCCTGTCCTAGTAGGAACAAGCCCAGGCACTTCCTCCCAGAAGCCTTTGGGAGTATCCTGGCCCCAAATTACAGGATGAGCAGAGCCTGCCTTCAGGACTTCCTGTGCCTAGGACTTCCTAGGTCCCTTGTTATTATCATGAAAAGCCTTCCCCATCTCAGGCTGCTCTCAACCTCTGTCTCTGAGTGGTGGTATTGCAGGTGGGTGCCAACATACCATCCTAAAAAGACTGTTTGTTTGTTTGTATTTGAGACAGGGTCTCTCTACATAGCCCTGGCTGTCCTGCAACTCTATGTAGACCAGGCTCTGGTCTCAAACTCACAGAGATTTGCTTGCCTCTGCGTCCAGATGGCTGATAAAGGTATGAGCCACCATGCCCGGCCCAAATAGCTATTTTTTCATGTGATCTTTACCTGGGGACCTACTGGACTAGGGAAGACACAGTGGACAAGCTGGGCGAACCTCTGCAACAAATAACCCAAGGTGAAAGAACAGCAATTCTAAAGCAGCATGGATGTGATGTCCCAAAGTCCTCAAGACATCATCAAGCTCCTGAAGGAAAACAGATATGGATTGGGTAGAGACACAAAGGGGGTTAGCAAGGCTTTAAGGGAAGGGGGACATGTGAGCAGACATTGATGGGTGAGTTGGAGTTTGCTAGGCAGAGAAAAGGAGGACCAGGAGGACCAGGAGGAAGCCTGGGGAGACTAAGACCAAGAGGACTTGGCACATGCAGAGTATGACTGAGATGAGGTACACAACAGAGCGAGGTACAGGAGGGACAGGAAGAGGGTGCACTGGCTACTTTATTTTATTTATTTATTTATTTATTTATTTATTTATTTATTTATTTATTTATTGTCAACTTGATGCAACCTAGAATTCCTGTAAGAGGGAATATCAACTCAGGAATTGCTCGGCTCAGACTGGCCTGTAACCATGTCTGCCAGAGACT